TGGACTTATTTTTTATTTAAAGTCAGTTTGAGAGCATTTTGTTCAAAAGTAACCATCCATTCAGTGGTAAAGTTCTCTAGATCAGCCCTGGCCAAAGCTTGTCCTGCAGGTCAAAGTTGACTCTTAAGAACATTTAATTTCACTCCTCAGAAAGCTACCTTAACATACCCCATCACTCAAAGAAAGAACAACCTTGTTATATACAATTATATAACTTATTGAATTCATGCTAAGCTAGTCTAATCTCGTAACAATAGCTACGAATTCACGATGAGCATAAATAGGTCATCAACAATAATAATAATCTTTGTTTATATAGTGCTTTTCATAGAATCGAAGCTCAGAGTGCTTTACAGACAGATGATAAAGCTTAGCGGTCATAGAAGACATTATGAATATTAATTTAAATTCATATATGCCCAGTAAGAAGACAACAAGTTTCTCTGCATCGCTCTGAAATAGAAAAGGCTGAACTTTAGCAATATTTCTCAAATAAAAAGCTACTTTAGTGACTGCGTTTACATTTGGGATAAAACAGAGCCCAGAGTCTAACATGACATCCAGGTTTTGTACTTCAGGTTTGGTATATGAAACCAAATGTTGAGAAAGTTGATCTAGCCTCAACTCAAACAGCAAGTCCACTTGATTACCTTTGTCTCATTCTCCATGTAGACCTTTGCAGCCAGGCCAAACATCACCAGATCTACTTTGATTGGTTCACTGGTACCAGGCAATAGACTGTACTCAATATGGTAATAGCTCTGAGGTTTGCGCGCCCCACTGGACAAAACATTCTTCATTTTCTTCTTCCCTTTCTCTACAGTGGTAATTGCATCATCTTTGTCCCCTTGAACGAAGAAAATTACAACATCATCAGATTAGCCGGCTTCCAGACACTGCAAAGATAATTCATGATAATGAGTAAACTACTAGGTCAAGTGCTGGAAGATATGCAGAAATCTTGAATTTAAGTAAAATTACAAATTCTCATGCAATACAACACTGTTAAAAATGAATTCAGCAATTATATGTACACATATGTCCAAAACTATCCAGACACTCCCCAAATAATTATTGAATTCAGCTACTTTAAGGTGCACCTGTTGCTGAAACAGAAAAACAGACAAACACAAAAACAGCCTGCATAAGAATAAAGCATTGCCAATAGAATGGAGCAGCCACACATGAGCCTAAGGTCACCATTTCATGTGCTAATCACTGGCTACAGCACAGGTTCCCAACCCTGGTACTGGAGTACCTCCTGCCCTGTACATTTCCTGCTGTAACACACAAACACACACACACACTTCTACTCAGGAAAGGATTGCTAATGAGCTGATTATTTGGATCAGGTGTGCTGGGAGCAGTGAAACACAAAAATGTGCAGGGCAGAGAGTACTCCGGGACCAAGGATAAGAACGACTGAGCTAGTGGGGTATAAAGCCCTCCAGTATTGGGCTGTGGAGCAGTGGAACTGGAGTGATGGCACTCCATTCAATACCTTTGGAATGAGCTGGAGTGACATTTGTGATCCAGAATTAATCACCCAACATCAACACCTAATCTGTATATACATATATACATTTGTCAGAACAAAACCTCGTATCTCCAAAATGACAACTTTACAGGAGAAGGAAAAAACAAACTTCACTTTTAATGTAAGCTACTTTTAAATGGAACCAGACTTTTTTCCAAGTCATTTTGGGCCATTTCTTTTGGACCATTCATCATGAAATTTACACACAATGTAAAAGGCAACAGACATTTTCGAAATATGTCAAAAGCTGAAAAACGACAAAAATGGAGATACGAGGTTTTGTTCTGACAGCAATGCCAGATACAAATATATATATATATATATATATATATATATATATGTTCCAATTCCAAAAAAGTTGGGACACTGTGTAAAATGTAAATCTTGCCCCGTCCCAGCTTTTTTGGAATTGGGGTTATAAATTTAGACTGTGTATTAGTATATATAAAGTTCTACATGAGTTATATTTTTCATCAAATGGTAAATTGTCCCACTTTCATCTGATATGTGTTTTATGTTCTATTGTGAATAAAATATGGGTTTATGAGATTTGCAAAACACTGCATTCTGTTTTTATTTACAATTATTTACATACTTCAGCCTTTCAGCATCAAAAGTAAGTTACTGAGAGGTTTCTCTAGCAGTAAAATAATTTTTTAAAACAAACAGTTTAAGAAATGACCACAGTAAGTAGGCTCTAAAATAAGCATATATTAAATGTAAGGAAAGTATACAAGCTCAGCATGTTAATAAGTAATAAGGCATAGGACAAAAATATGGATTATACTTATTTCATGTAATATATTCCAGACTGCAGGGACTGGGAGTGAGGGGTATGAATGATATATTTGTAACTGTAACAATGTTTGCATACTACTAAAAAGTGAAGAAAATGTGTTTTCAATTCAATTATATGGGCCCTTTAATTGTGACTAATGCAAATGTTGCCACAGTGAAAGTTACCTATGGGCAGAGCCAGGGCAATGCTGACAGTGCAAGTGACGGTGTAACTGCAGTGACCCGTAGGTGGGCAGGAATCTGGCCCTATGTGCCCATCAATGACCCCTTCTTCACTTTCAGAGCTGTGGCTGGTGCTGATGCCAGTATCATCTCGATCATCCTCTGTGAGCTGGCATCTGAGGAGGACGCACTCTTCATCATCCTCACTTCTCACCAGCTCTGATGAGGTGGCAGATGCAGATGGCTCCATCTGCTTCCATAACACAAATAGTACTTTTGGCAAGTAAATAAACAGGAAAAATTGCAATCATATAGAAAGTAAAGCATAGTAATTGCGTATAACGGTTAGAAACACCTGTAGACAGCTACACAAGGCAAAATGGCACATGTAGTGAGATTTTGTCCCTTACGAGAAAATTCGAGACCAGCAGCTAAAGGAATGTCAACCACAAGATATACTGCCTTACCAAAAGAGCAGAAATAACAGAATAAAGAAGCAAAAGCTTAACTTGTTTACCTCACAGAAACTGATTGTAGTGTTCCTTCCCGCCATTATTTAAAACTCTAACCCTTCTTTGAGCTTCTCTGATCTCGCTGGAAGAACGCAGAGCTCCTTTGTGAGCTGGCCTTCTTTCCAGCCAGCGCGTCTTCGCGTTGTCTAGGCAACCGGGCTCGAGCACGACACAGTGTCAACGTTCCACCAAAGACGATAAAGTTGCGTTGCAGTCATTTGTTTGACGACAAAGCGAACGATTAAGAACATTTATTCTCGCTTTTTCCTTACATCTGTTTGAGTCGCTAACATTCTTGAAAATGACGTTGTAAATATGTGTGTTGGGGTGAAGTATGCCCTCCTAATTTTAGTGAAACTTCCTTGGCCGTGTCCAATAAGCTCTAGTGCGGACTTGTGTTGTAGCGCGCTTAGCTATCAAGGCCTCAAGTTTAACAGAATTCCATTCATGCACATGGAGAAACAGTACACGCGTATCTCAAATCAAGCATAGCATACTAACATACTACACATTTATCCGCAGCAGTGATACTATTCCCCTTCTTACCTAGCAGCATTCAAACAAGTGTGAGCATGTCCAGACTACAACGCCACGGCTAGTCATCTCTAGTACCTCCACATTATGAACTTCTGAGGACAATGAAATGTGACCTTAGTGAAACAATTATGTTCTACCTATTGTTTTATGCCCACACACACCAAAATATCTTGCAGCATTTTTGTTTGTACTATAACTGAAATCACATCAGTTATTAAGGAAACTGACTCTAGTAGAATGTTACAAGAAAAGTAATTTTCAAATTGAACTGAATTGAATTGTATTTAGGAGTTATAAGCAAATGGTTATATTTTTTCAAAAGATTTTAACTTCATTAATTTCTTCTTACCAATACTTAATACTTTCTAACCCATACTTTGTGGTAAAGCTCTCTATTATTTGTCACGTGAATTAAATAAATAAGAATGGTAAGCTGTTTCTTTTAAAGTTTCTTGATATCCTTTTTTTCCTGAAAAAGTAAAAATGTTAATAATGCTGGTAAAAATTAAGTTTGGACGCTAATGATATTGCAGGTTCTCACTGGGGCGACTTCACTGCTTTTTACAATTCATTTGGAGGAACACTTTTTTCAGCATTAATCAATATTAATTTAACACATAGTAATAGCATTTTCACAAGTGAAAACACAATTTTGACATACTTAAATTCTATGTATTATGTATTTCAGTTTTTATAAACAGAAGTCAATTTTTACATGTAAGAACTACATTTTTTATTTTCATTACATTTTTTATTTTTCATTAGTCACAAATTAATTCAAAGATGAAATAATTAGCATTTCAACATATCAAATTTTCTAATTTTTGTCATTTTTTTTTTATTTCATTTTTTTGACCTACCATCGTCAATGTCCAAAATTGGAGCATTTCTACTGGACCATTTGTCAGGAATTTTTACTTTTTTACACAAAGTGTAAGGATCAGTTGACAAATTGTGCAGAAAAACAAACATCAACAAAAACTGAGTCTCCTTTTTATTACAGGGAATATATAAAACTGAACTACAATAATTCCTATAAATCTACATTTTTTTTTACATTTGGTCCATGTCAAATTTCTTTTCTTTCTTTCAAATTGATTTTTTTTTATCAATAAGTTTGGATTAAAAGCTAAAATGCCTTTCCATACATTTGTATGCATGACTTGCAAATGGTTAACTGCCTTCTTTTCAAAAGTTTTTTTCATTTGCACCAGTTAAGAGTTTCAGCAACGCCCCCACATGCAGCAGTGCTGTAAAGTAAACTTCCTCAGGAGCAGAACAGAGCAGAGGAGACCAGAGCGGAGAACACAGGAGAGGAGAACAGAGAAGAACAGAGGGACAGCTAACATGATCCGAGCAGCACAGTGTATGAGTGTGTGCATATGTGTGTTGGGTGCATCTGCCGAACCCATTAATACGTTTAAACCGCTATAAATGGTCTTCCTATGAAGGGGTGGGGATAAATAAGGCTAAAGGATGGAAATCTCAGATGCATGTGATCCATACAGGCGTCCAGCGCGCAGGACACAATGGATAGTGAGCACGCTGGCTTACCACTATGGGCTGGATCGTGGAGTGGAGAACGAGATCATTGTGCTAGCTACGGGTTTGGACCAGTATCTGCAGGAGATTTTCCACCATTTGGACTGCCAGGGAGATGGTAAGATCCCAGCTGAAGATTTTAGGATTCTGTGCGAGGTTTTGGGTCTCGAAGCCGAGGCTGAGCCAGAAGAATGCTCAGGTATCCTGGACTCTCTGCCCGTGGAGTTCACTTTCCGCCAGTTTCATGCTAAACTCTGCGGCTACTTTAGCACCAAGGCTGGGCGATGCTACGAGGATGGACGGCTGTTGGTTGGAGGGGACAGCGAGCACATCGAAACTCAGATCCGCCTCAGGAGCCCCCTCAGGCGGCGCGGGAAGCTGCTAACCGCCGCGAGTTCCACAGCGAATCCTGGAGCTTCGTCATGCAAGCCTGGCTCATGTACACGGGAGTGCTACGAGGAGATAGTGGCTCTGGAGGAGGCGGAGGACAGGATGGCCAAACTGGAGGAGGAAAATGCCAGTTTGAGGGAACTAGTGGAGGACATGAGGGCTGCGTTACAAAGCAGCGATGCCAGGGCACTAGCATTGCAGGTAAGGTGTCAGTTTTGGTAGCCAAAGATGATGCATTGAATTGTCCTTATCCACATGTGTACCTCATTTACAGATGAATTAATTATAGTAGATCAACACAGTTTTTGCCTGAATGCAAGAAAATGCACCGATCAGCAATAACATTAAAACCACCTCTTTGTATCTACATTCATTGTCCATTTTATCAGCTCCAATTACACCTTGTAGTTTTACAATTACAGACTGTAGTCCATCTGTTTCTCTGTATGCTTTGTTAGCCCCCTTTCTCCCTCTTTTTCAATGGTCAGGACCCCCTCAGAGCAGGTATTGTTTGGGTGGTGGATCATTCTCAGCACTGCAGTGACACTGATGTGGTGTGTTTTTAGTGTGTTGTGCTGGTATCAAACACAGCAGTGCTGCTAGAGATTTTAAACAATGTGTCCACTCACTGCCCGTTCTATTATACACTCCTACCTTGTAGATGTGAAGTCAGAGACTGTAGCTTATCTGTTGCTGCACAGTTTGTGTTTATCAGAGGTCACAGGATGCTGCCCACAGGACGCCGTTGGCTGTATATTTTTGGTTGGTGGACTATTCTCAGTCCAGCAGCGACACTGACGTGTTTAAAAACTCCAGCAGCACTGCTGTGTCTGATCCACTCAGACTAGCACAACCACCCAAATAATACTTGCTCTGTGGTGGTTCTGTGGGGGTCCTGGCCACTGAAGAACAGATTTAAAGAGGGCTAACAGTATGCAGAGAAACAGACAGTCTGTAATTGTAGAACTGTAAAGTGCACCTATATGGTAAGTGGAGGACATGGGTTTAATGTTATGGCTGATGGATAGATTGTGTTGATGTGTTTTTTTTGGTTTGGAAATTATGTGCACCTTTTGCATCAATCCTCTGTGAAAAAGAGCTAGTAATTGTTCACACTGTAGACTTAAATTTGTTGACTTTACTTTAAAATCATGCAAACTTACTGCCTCGAGGAAATTAAGTAAAGTTACTTAACAGAATCAAGCTTAAATTACTTTATATATGAGTTATAGTTACTTTCTAATTTTCAGTGGCCCACACCTTTGTAGTAAGTGAGGTTAAGGTTAACTCAAACAGCCCAATAATGGTTTCCGTTGAGCTGGTAGTACTCTACTTTTTCAAGTTCTGCTTAGTCTTTCCTGTGTAAATGGATTGTCTCATACAGTAACAAATAAATGGCTCAGTTAAGACTAGAATCACCCATTTCTAAGGACTCTAATAGCTTAATGCACATTTGCCATTCTATTAGCATCCATGGTGATAGGTTGAACTACTGGACTGTTAGAACTGAACACAAAAATCGTGCAAAATGCATCCAGACTTCACATTTAACATGAGAGTATGCTGTGACACAAAAAGAGAATTATATTCACAATTTTGAAAAATAAGAGTTAATTAACGGAAACCTACAAAACCACTAGGAATGTTAGGAAACTTTTTGGGCAAAAGACTCCTCAGTCTGTAGGACTCTGTAGGATCTTAACCAAATTTACCTAGTAACTAAGGATTAAACAATAAATAGTAAATCTTACTGGATTTGTGTTAGTAATTTTAACAAATAAGTAAGCCAAAAAAGATAAGTTCCTATAAGAATTGTGTAATAAATCAGGACAGAAACTACAGAATAGTGCAGTTTTACATATTACTATAAGAACATATTACATAAATGCCATAGGAATGCTAGATTATTAAAGAAGTATTTCACAGAACTATCAAAATCTTATCGTTTATTATAAAATGTTCTGTACATCTTTTTTGCAAGTGTTCTGTGCAACAGTATTAGGCCACCTATATATAGATAATTGTTTAAAACTTTTCTTCTTGGTAGTAAAAGGTGTTTCCTTATAAAAACACTACATATCATTCATATAGATACTAGGAGTGGCCAATATAGCAAAAATATTATATCACATAATAGACATTTTCACAATATGCATCATGATATTCCATTTTCCTGAAATTTAATACGTTGGAACATACAAAACAGAACCTATAGTGCCGCACATAAAAAATGTGCTGCACTAACTCCAAACAAATGGGCCTAAATGTGCTCACTTTTTAATGAAACGTATAGTTGGTCATTGTTCTTTAAGTGCTGACAATTTCCATGATATGCTTAGAAAACCATATCATAACAGAATTTATCATGATAATGATGAAATATTGTCATATCGCCCACCCTTAATAGATGCAAATACACAGTGATACAGTAGAAAGTATTTCAGTTTTCACAGTTCTTGCTATGTATTCTATGAGCTAGTTAGAATAACAGGTTTGGTCCTCCTTGATGCAGCTCAAGCCACTGCATGGATTTATTTAATTCTACAAGCAGTGCATCTGATTTAACTTAATAAAGGATTGATTTGCCAAACTAGTATTTAACTGAAACATTCACACATTAAAAAAATGCACTTGCAGTTTATTTAAAGACAAAATGCTTTAAATTTAACTTTCTCATTTAACTTAAAACTTGTTCATGATCAGCAACATTTTTTTATTATGGTCACGCTGTTTAAACTCATTGTTAGCTCCTCCAACCACAGCAATGTCTACTATGGTGAGGAAATACCTACTCATGTTGTGCACCAGTTGGTTTTTTCATGATGTGATGTGATCCAGATGGATCATCTGAGACTGCTCAGCCTCTGCTTTCTGGTGTGGATGATATTGCTTGTTGTGTTTTAGAAGTTAGCTTATTCATGTGCCATACAGTATATGTTCAAAAGTATCCAGACCTTCAGTCTGATTAGTGAATTCAGCTGCTTTAATGTGCACACTGTGCCTATGGCAAGTGGTATCTTATAATACCCAACACCCTGTCCCATAATGCCTAACACACTGTCACATAATACCCAACACACTGTCCCATAATACTTAACACACTGTCCCATAATACTTAACACACTGTCCAATAGTGCCTAAAACACTGTCCCATAATATCCAACACACTGTCCGAAAATGTCACACTGTCCCATAATGCCTAACTCACTGTCCCATAATACCCAACACATTGTCCCATAATACTTAACACACTGTCCAATAGTGCCTAAAACACTGTCCCATAATATCCAACACACTGTCCAATAATATCCAACACACTGTCCGAAAATGTCACACTGTCCCATAATACCCAAACACTGTCCCATAATACGTAACACACTGTCCCATCATACCTAACACACTGTCCAATAGTGCCTAAAACACTGTCCCATAATATCCAACACACTGTCCCATAATATCCAACACACTGTCCGAAAATGTCACACTGTCCAATAGTGCCTAAAACACTGTCCCATAATACCCAACACACTGTCCCATAATACGTAACACACTGTCCCATAATACCTAACACACTGTCCAATAGTGCCTAAAACACTGTCCCATAATATCCAACACACTGTCCCATAATATCCAACACACTGTCCGAAAATGTCACACTATCCCATAATGCCTAACTCACTGTCCCATAATTCCCAACACACTGTCCCATAATACTTAACACACCAAAGGACACTTTCCCTTAAAACCTGTCATGGTTTGATAATACCATATTAGGGGTTGCATTAATTCAGATTTTTTTAAAGTCATCAATTATATGTGATTATAAGTTGATGTCGACTAATTGCTGATGACATCATGAATAAAACCACAGGAGAAAGGAAGGCTTTGCAGCAAGCGACTTTAAAACACCCCACTTTAAAAATCCGTGATGAAGCCAGACTGCACAGATCAGTAGAGCATGGCATGTCCTTTCCAACGAGCCCTGGATCGCATTGCTAGCCTTGAGGGGACTGGCGATATGGACCCTGGATTCTCGCAAATTTGTTTCCGACTTGTATCCGCACTCTAGGCGACCTTGCCGAGAGCCAAAGAAATTTAGAGCACTGTAACTTGGTGAAAATAAGAGTAACTAACTTCAAACTTCAAACTTCAAATTTAGGGCATTATGTCCCCTCTCCAATTGTAGTCTTCAGGAAATCGGAAATAGCAACATTCAATAGCTGATCTTTAGGCACTTTAGATTGGCAGAGAAATGTTAGAATGAGGCCAGACTCCACAGGTCAGTAGAGCATGTGCCCTGTCCAATGAGCCCTGGAACTCAACACACTCTCCCATATTACCAAACACACTGTCCCATAATACCCAACAAACTGTTCCATATTACCTAATACTGTCCCCTAATACCCAACACACTGTCCCATAATACCCAACACACTGTCCTATATTACATAACACACTGTCCTGTTACCTAACACACTGTCCCATAATACCCAGCACACCGTCCCATATTACCTAACACACTGTCCAACAATACCTCACACACTGTCCCATTTATCCCTCAGAAGTTGATGTTTTAGTTTTGTTTTACTATACCATTCAAATTTTGTAATCACGTATTTAACTACATAGTTATACAATGAATTTATTTTACATTCGTATTACGGTTTTAACAAAGACAAAAATGTAGTAAAAGTGTTTGTAAAGACAAGGCTGTATGGGCTACAGTAACTTTTCAAATCAAATTCAAATTATATGAAAACTCTTCTACTTACAGACACTTAAATGTGCTATAAAGTGAGAGTTTCGAATAATCACTTTTCAAAGAATTTCCCTGATTGTTTCAGTGATCTGTGAGTGAGAATAGGGCTGGGTATTGGCAGCAACTTTAACCCCTTAAAATCCCAGGCTTATTACATACTAAGGCTTATCCTTCAGTAACTACACAGACTACAGTGCCACCTGGCTAAGTTATTGAGTTAGGTTATACAAGTGTGTAATAAAACTTTGGACCTGTTGGTGGGCCCTGGCCACTTAAGGGGTTAATGATACGGTATGATTCACAGCACAGTACAGCAGGCAACATACAAGTGACCCAGCTGACTTAGTATCTTGCAAATCTTCCGGATGGTATGTAGTTATATACCTCATAATTTATTGTGTTACTGAAGTATTGTACCTAAGCACTGCATTTGCTACCGAAGGTAAGAAAAGACTATACCCAAAGTCAACTTAGACTGGCTACTCCACTATGTCAGAGCAGTTGTTTCTCTATTAGAGCGCAGGTTTGCCATGTGCTTATAAATTGTAAATGTAATGCAGTATCAGTTTCACTTGCACATACATGCCCTATATAAAAGGAAAATAAATGTCCTTCCCATTATCAATTCATGTATCACCAATATTATTTATGATACACTGCCGTATCAACATTTTGAACTCAGCTCAAAGTTCGAAATAATTAACACCATTAATACCATGCTTTTGTTTTTGGTGGCAACAACTGTGACTTCTGAAGGTTAATACCTGAATCTATTTCTGCATGCTTTAGGTTGGACTCTGGAAAAGCCATGCAAAACACAGGCCGGACAGTGGCTGCTTTATTGCCCACCATAAGAGAGCAGCTCAGAAGTCCAAGTGCCAGGGAAACCTGAAGAGTTTCCAGGGTTTCCTGCGTGAGATGGAGCTGGCTCAGGTCGGGCAGATGGAGGAGGCCCTCCTGCTGAAGCAGAAGAAGTTGGAGCAGGAGTTGAGGGGGTCCCGGGAAGCCACGTTGATGCTTGAGGAGTGTAACCATACCCTAAAGAAGGAGCACATGGAGATGAGGAAGAAGGTAGAGGAGGCCAGGCAGGCTCTGTTCAGTGGCCTGGCGAAGGTGAAGGAGCTAGAGGCCAAAGCCAGTCAGATACCCACCCTACAGAGACACATACAACAGCTGGAGATGGAGCTTCTGTATTACAGGTGAGACAGCAGCTTAGTGTAGTTATGTAGGGATAGTTTGAATCTGCTCCTAAGGTAGATTAGCCCTAAAGCCTTGAAGTAGGGCTCGGCAATATTACAAGATGTTTTGACATCATGATTACATCCTGATACTCTTTTCTCAGTGTATCATAGGTATCGTTTATTTTTGCACGCACCAAATTAAAAAATATATAACCTTTTCTAAATTGTGTCACTAGTTTTGCTGGTGCATTTTGCCCATTGCAACTTGTTTGCAAACCTTACAAAACAAATATAATGGCATATATTGTGTAGGGGAGAGCAAGACACAACCATGTATGAACTAAAATGTAACATGGATGGATTTCACATAGTTAAAGCGGTTAGAACATGCTTTTGGTTGTCATTTCGTTTTCCCATAGCAGCATCATCTACAAATTTTGACAGCAGTCAGACAGATATTTCTCATGATTCACTCTAATACCACAAAATGAACTTACTGAGCTGTGTTTTCAGTCACAGCTTTATTCTTTAAGGTATTGTCTTGGTGGCTGTAGTATAGCAGTATTCTGAAACATGTAAATAACTCACACTGAGTAACTGGGCTAAAATACAGCGTACACATGATGGGGTTAGTTTTAACACAGTGTTAGTACAAACTCTCCCCAAATAAGCAAAGAAGTCCAGGCCATATACATTCGAATAAGATTCACCAAAAATGTACTACAGATGTCATTTTTATCATGAAGAAAAAAATAAAATTGCCGGAGCTCATTTAAGTTTGACTTACCCTCTTTTCATGAATGTTTTCTTTTAAAGGATATTTTTATCTGTTTAGGTTGGAAAGCTTATATGGCTCAAACAATGTTTTGCATCAATTTTAAAAATGTATTTACCAAAAACCAAAATTTGTTTGCTCCCTGCTCTCCCCCCCTCTTAAAAATGCCCTCACATTTTGTGTTGTTATAGTTTTACCATATCACCCAATGTTTACTTAAATATTCTTTTTCCAGAGATCTTCATCAGACTTCATCTGAGTAGATGAGAACTGGAATATCTCAGTCTAGTCATCTTGACCTATTACTACTGCTTAACTGAAGTTTGTTGTCATGGAAACATGACTGTATCATATTGCATTGTTTACCAAGCAGTTTTTGTGGTAAGATCTGGCAACCATGCGTGCGTGGCTTTGAGGAACAGCTCTGACCGGCTCACTTTGGACATACTTAGAAGTTGGCTTTAGGCTTACTTCATAGTTGACCCAGTTTGGCTGTAAGTGGTGGATCAATGCATGTTTTTATTACATAATTCTGTTTTGTCTGATCTAAAATAGTGCATCAGAATTCTTTTGAGCTGAAATGGCTCCCACAGAATCTACTGGCTCAGGTCCTGAACAAGTGTGGCAGCATACATGCTATTTAAGCCGCCTTGATGTGGTTCTCTCTCTGGAGTGCAGACCATGTTTTGTTTGGGTTCATTTAGCAGGCAACGTGTGTGGCAAGTGGGCTGCCGTTTTGGTTTACTGAAACTGTGCCCGGCTTCAGCTGGACTCGTTTCTGAGGAATTTGGGTTTTATACCTAGCCTGTCATTGAACCTTCCAAGAGCATGAGCATTTAATTAATGTTTACAGTCTGCCAAACTGCTTTGTCTCCTTCAGTTTCATCAGTGTTTGCATAATTTTACATCCATGCTCTGGGATGGCATTCATGGAGATATTTGTGAATGCATCGTTTTGTTGGAGGTTTCCGGTACAAACTGAATGAACGTTTCTTCCAATCGGATGAATATCTCACTCAGTGGAAACGTAATATCTGAGCATAAATTGCTTCACATGGTTTTTACATAAGGTGATCATTTGAGCTTTATCATCCTTCATTATTTGCTGTGAATGACGTATGTTCTGAAAATGGTCTGTTTTCTCCATCAGCTAAAGTTTCACTTCACATTTTAGAGTGTTATGAAATACAGCACTTTCCATAAACTGGATTTATCCAGAGTTTCAACAACCGATGTATTTGACGGTTTGGAAAACTGTTATGAAAAGTGTTACAAAATCCAACTTGGACACCTCTGAGAAAAGGTGTAATCCTGAAAAGAAGAGCAGTAGTGAAATCTGCTGTATTGAGTTGGCAATAAGGAAGACCTTTTGGAGCTCTAATTAGAGATGGGTGGGGTTATTTGAATACATGGCACTAGTAACCCATCTTAGTAGCTGTTTACTTAATCAGTCGTTCAAATAAGTGTAGTTTGAAAGAACTTAAATAAATAAAAATAATGAAATAAATGTTTTATGTTATAATTTTAAAGTAGTTTTTAAGGGACCATGTAACAGAGTTGTAGAGGATGTGGCCATGGGAGCCTGATTTTGATTGAAAGTGGAGGAGCAATTTTTTGGGGGGGCGGGGGGTCCCATGAGGGTGTTAATTAATGCAGAGGTGTCTTAATTTAAACGTATTCAGATATAATCATTTTAAAATTTAATGAAAAATATATACTTACTTGTGCTTATGCAGTTAATTCCACTGGAAGTCAAATTTTCATTTGAATGAACTCTAACAGAAGTAGGGCTACACAAGCTTCCCTTGCTCCATTGCTTAGATGTCTATGCATGGGGCAACACAAGCTGCTAATATTAGTATTATTCAGACGGGATTAGTTGGATACTGTCATTTTACCTCCGGACGTCTATAATTCACGATAATTCGCATAGGATGAGAAAACTCATAAATGACAGAGAAGGTAGTGACCACTCAAGTTATACATTGTCATCACTAGTGATGTGCACAGGTACAAGTCCTCGATTATCTGTGTGAGGTGTCAGTTTTTGAATACTGAAATCACTGTTTGCATTTTGTTTACCACAGAGAGCTAACTACTTTAGCTGATGTATTCTAGGTCCAGAAATAGTAAAAATATATATCTCTCACAAACTAACATATTGGCACACCACCCACCTGTAAAATGAAAACAAGTACACCTCAGCATCCAGTATTACACCTGTTAGCTCTGTTAGCTTAGCTCATCTGAAGAGACAGTTTCACATCTAACAGTAACGCCTATTAATGTCATTTTTCTCTTGTTTTTTCCTTCCCTGCGGTTAACCGATCATCCATTCACTAAAATCTTACAGATGCTCACAAATTAGTCAAAACACTCATTCATAGTGGTCACATCAAATAAGTTCCATATGTAATATATTTGGATGTTCATATGAAGAAAAAAGGGCCAAATACTTAATTTAATCATAAATTTGTTTACCTTTAGCATCTGGCCAGCTGTTTTAAGTGAGTGCTGTGTGTTGTTAGCATTGTCAGAAGCATAAGAATTCACAGCCAACAGTTAACATTGACACACAAAATCAAACCTTTTTTCTGTCATTTTACATTCCAATGTTTTGATGTTCAGAGTTGTAAACTAGTGCTAAGACAATACATATAGGCTGGATTTGGACTACAGAGAATCCAAGTGAATGCTTCTTTTATTCACTTTATATAATAGTAAGTAAAAGTGGCGTAAATCTAAATCTTAAAGAGCACAAAGTAATTATTACCAACGTGGCAGATTAGGACGAGACTAAAATAACAGAGAAACACTGGTTATAGTTATTATTACCCCACCTTTCTATGTAAAACCAATCCCATCCAAATAGCGCTATAGCATCTCACGCAAAGCCAAACAGTCATATCTAAGCAGAGCTGTGCATGGAAATATTCCAAACAAACAGATGCTAAATTTGTACAGCAAAGTTGGGTGAGGTCAGCTGTTAGTGTGTTAAATCACACACACCCACAACACAAAGATAAATCACCAAACCAACCAAAAGATCAGGTACGGATCATTTCTTATGCTAGCAGTGTGCTAAATGAATGCTAAATCTTCCATACTTGTGGCGTAATAACATTATACAAAATATTTTCTCATTGGGATATTTGAATACTACTCATTTAAATTTCAATATCAAAAAAAGTTCAAAAGCCCATCCCTAACTTTTAGTACTTTGAAGTTAAAGCAAATGTTAGCTTAAAAGATGTACCCAGAAGCCCCAGCTTCATCCTGAGGGGTCAGAGGCCTGAGTGTTGACGAGTGCTACATGTTGACGTTCATCATAAACATTCTCAATCTTACCTTCAAGCCGCGCTAAGCTGTGTAGAGTTTCTCCGGCCATGCTGGGAGGCCGACCCCACCCCCATTCATACTCTAAAGCCAAATAATTCATTCGGGATCACAATGGGGCCGACACACTGGGAGAGAGTTCCATTCACTCAGGAAAGGCCCGACCTAAACAGACTGAAAGTTCCCATCAGTCTTCAAACGGCTCCCCTGCGATTTGGTCTCTTCTTGAATAATAGATGAACACTCCCTGCCTGAAACCTAGCAACTGTTCCCCTCTGAACCCTCACAGATTGGAGGGCTCCCCTGCATACCAGTGGGGCTTTCTTTAGAAACTCTAGCATGCCTTAACCCACATGTTTTGTTGAGATTGGCTTTAAGCATCATTAATTTCTTGTTTACACAATACAGTGCTTTGAAAGAAACTTATTTATTTATTTATTTGGGTCCCAAAAATCACAATTTCCCTGCAGTGTATTGCTTTCTCTTAACTAATCAAATCTCAGTACATAAAATGTGAAGCTTTAAACTCTCCCTGTACCGCAAAACACCTGCGTGCATTTCAGAAAGGTACTGAAACATTATTATTACAACAAATAATTCAATATTTTATGTTTTTTATGTAATATGTCAGGCAAATACAATGCTCAAAGTTAGTTTTGGGACACTTCTATCATCATTTGTTTTTTAGAATTATTTAATTTGTCAATGTATTGTGGGTATTTTGCTTTACCATGTTCAAAAGTGCATTGTTTCATACTATATTGTGACTTATCAATCAATACCTTGCATCTAACTGAGCAATAGGAAGCTAGAAACTTTCACCTAACCCCCTTTTTGCTTCAAAGCAAACATTGAGACACTAATCCCAAATGTATTGCGTTCAAAGATCCAGTGTACTATACAACAC